AACACTTTCGCAGGCGGTGGGCGTGCCGCTTCCAAAATGTGGCTCTCGCCTTTGTGCCGCGCACGCTCGTTTTACAAACGTATGCAGCAATTTCACGGATTGGGGGCGGGTCGATTTCAAGATGTGGCTCTCGCATAGCGCCGCGCACACTCGTCTTCAACATTGCCAACAACGTCACGAATTGAGGGCGGGCCTTTTTAAACATGTGGCTCTCGCCTTCGCACTGCGGCCACTCGTCTTCCCATAGTTAACGTATCAAAACATGATCGACCCACGAGCCCGGAAAGGAATACAGAAATGTAAGGCATGGCAACGTGTCCAAGACACTTGATTGGGCGACGGGCAAATGCAATGCTGAATGTATCGATATTGATGTACTGTGCCGAGGGCTGTGCTGTGCTACGCCGTGCTGAACTGCGATGTGCCATGCCGCGAGTGTGCTCTATATAGCGTTGTGGATCGAGGCCTCCCTGGCATCCGAGTCCTGACCGAACTGATACGGATCTTCAGCTCGAGCTGCCTGAGCAGATGGTAGCTGCCCCAGAACCAATCGACAGAGGGGACATGCCAGGAGGACGCGCCGCGGAACGTCCCAAGTGACGCGCCAGGCGACGTGCCAGGGGACGTGCCATGGGCACGCACCGCGGGACGTGCCAAGGGGACGCGCTACGGAACGTGCCAATGGACGTGCCGCGGGACGTGCCAGGGGACGCGCCGCGCGACGTGCCAGGTGGACTCGCCAAGGAACGCGCCAAGGAACGTGCCAAGATGCAATGTTGAATGTATCGATCTTGATGTACTGTGCCGACGGCTGCGCTGTGCTGGCCGTGCTGAACTGCGATGTGCCATGCCGCGATCGTGCTCTATATAGCGTTATGGATCGAGTCCTCTTTGCATCCGAGTCCTGACCGAACTGATCTGGATCTTCAGCTCGAGCCGCCTAAGCAGATGGTGGCTGCCCCGGAACCAATCGACAGGGGGACATGCCAGGAGGACGCGCCGCGGAACGTCCCAAGTGACGCGCCAGGCGACGTGCCAGGGGACGTGCCATGGGCACGCACCGCGGGACGTGCCACGGGGACGCGCTACGGAACGTGCCAATGGACGTGCACCGCGCGACGTGCCAGGGGGACTCGCCACGGGACGTTCCGCGGAACGTACCAGGCAACATGCCAAGCTGCAATGCTAAGGGTATCGATATTGATGTACCGTGCCGAGGGCTGGCGCCTCCCTGCGGCCCCCCCTGGCCAGGCCGCGCCGCGCGGCGCGCCTGGCCTGGATGCCGCACGGAGCGCCAGGGTGCAAGAAGCCCCGAAAGAAGGGTGGCGGATGGGAAAGAAACAGCAACCTCCCCGCAGCGCAGCACCGCGACGCTCGGCGCTGCGAGGAGGGCTTAGCCGCGCGCGGGCGCGCACCCCACGGCCGCTTCCGTCGGCGGCGCTGCCGACTCGCGCGGCGCGTGGCGGCGGGCCGCGCCACCGAGCGCGGGCGCGGCCCGCGAACGCGCCAGCGCACGAATTTGTGACCGCCCACAAACACCCCAGGGCCCCTCGGGGATCCAAGGACTTTGATAGGCCAACCACAAATTACGTGCGGCGCTGCAAAGCGCCACCCTGCCACGGGGTGCCTGGGTGTCGGCGCCCCCCTGCGGTCTCCCCTGCCCGGGCCGCGCCGCGCGGCGCGCCTGGCCTGGATGCCGCACGGAGCGCCAGGGTGCAAGAAGCCCCATCGCCAGCAGGCACCCAAGAGCTGCGTGCGGCGCACACGCGGCGCGCCCGAACCCCCCATCGCCAGCGGACCGCGCTGTGCGTGAAGCCGAACGGGCAGCACTCACGTTTCGTCACCCGACGACTCGGCAACATGGGCCGACATATCGGCGTCGCGCTCCAATGCGTGCATGTCCAAGTATGCAAGGAAAGCCGGGGACCTGGGCGCGCGCCCGCGCGGACGCCGCGCGCGAGAAAGGGGCGCAGCACCGCGCCTCCATTCACCAGCGCGAAGAATGTCCGCGAGGGTGCAGCCTGAAGCTCGCATATCCTGAGCCGCTCGCCGCTTGCCCCCGCCCTGGGCCGGGCACCGCGCGCACCGGGCGACTCGCCTCGGCATGGCCCCTTCGGAAATCGTGCGTGCGACAGCAGCCAGCGTCGGGCACGCCTAGCGCGTGGAGCGCACCGCACAGCGTGCCAGGGGCCAGCGCGGGTGAAGGAAACAGCAACCTCCCCGCAGCGCCGCACCGCGACGCTCGGCGCTGCGAGGAGGGCTTAGCCGCGCGCGGGCGCGCACCCCACGGCCGCTCCTGTCGGCGGCGCTGCCAACTCGCGCGGCGAATTCAGAGGATCTCTCAAGTGAAATGCTTGGTTTCACGTGCCCAGGTCTTGAGGATGTCTCGAGCGAGACGCTTGGTTTCACGCCTCCAGGTTGCCCAGGCAGAGGTCAAGCGCCAGGATTTGTTGAGGATGTCTTGAACCAGAGGCTTGTTTTCACGTTTCCAGGTCGCCCAGGCGGATGTCTAGCATGAGGATGTGTCGAGGAAGTCTCGATCTAGACGCTTGTTTGCACGTGTCCAGGTTGCCCAGACGGATATCTAGCATGAGGATGTGGTTGGCCCATCAACGTCCTTGGGTCCCGGAGGGGTCCTGGGGTGTTTGTGGGCGGTCACACATTCGTGCGCTGGCGCGTTCGCGGACCGCGCCCGCGCTCGGTGGCGCGGCCCGCCGCCACACCCCCAGGAGAGGGCAATCTATAACACAACATAAGCGTTTCGCTCGAGACATCCTCAACAAATTCTGAACATGATCGGCCCACGAACCCGGAAAGAAATACAAAAATGTAACGCATGGCAACGTGTTCAAAGACACCTGATTGGGTGACGGGCAAGTTGCAATGCTGATTGTATCGATCTTGATGTACCGTGCCGAGGGCTGTGCTGTGCTGCACCGTGCTGAATTGCGATGTGCCATGCCGCGGTTGTGCTCTATAGCGTCGTGGATCGAGTCTTCCTTTGCATCCGAGTCCTGACCGAACTGATCTGGATCTTAAGCTCGAGCTGCCTGAACACATAGAAGCTGCCCCAGAGCGAATTGACAGGGGGACATGCCAGGAGGACGCGCCGCGAAACGTCCCAAGGGACGCGCCAGGCGACGTGCCAGGGACGTGGTGCCATGGGGTCGCACCGTAGGACGTGCCAAGGGGACGCGCTACGGAACGTGCCAATGGATGTGCCACGGAATGTGCCAGGGGACGCGCCACGCGACGTGCCAGGGGGACTCGCCAAGGGACGCCCCACGGAACGTGCCAAGGAACGTGCCAAATTGCAATGCTGATTGTATCGATCTTGATGTACCGTGCCGAGGGCTGTGCTGTGCTGCACCGTGCTGAATTGCGATGTGCCATGCCGCGGTTGTGCTCTATAGCGTCGTGGATCGAGTCTTCCTTTGCATCCGAGTCCTGACCGAACTGATCTGGATCTTAAGCTCGAGCTGCCTGAACACATAGAAGCTGCCCCAGAGCGAATTGACAGGGGGACATGCCAGGAAGATGCGCCGCGAAACGTCCCAAGGGACGCGCCAGGCGACGTGCCAGGGGACGTGCCATGGGGTCGCACCGTAGGACGTGCCAAGGGGACGCGCTACGGAACGTGCTGGGGACAAGCGTTTCGCTGGAGACATCCTGTCAAAATCCTCATTCTAGACATCCGCCTGAGCGACCTGGACACGTGAAAACAAACGTTTCGCTCAACACATCCTCAACACATTCTCATGCTAGACATCCGCCTGGGCGAACTGGACACGTGAAAACAAGTAGTTCGCTCGAGACATCCTCAACACATCTTCATGTGAGACGTCCGCCTGGGTGACCTGGGCACGTGAAAACAAGCATTTCGCTCGAGACGTTTTCAACACCTCCTCATTCTAGACATCCGCCTTGGCGACCTGTACACGTGAAAGCAAACGTCTCGCTCGAGACATCCTCAACACATCTTCATGTTAGATATCCGCCTGGGCGACCTGGACGCGTGAAAACAAGCGTATCTCTCGAGACATTCTGAACACATCCTCATGCTAGGCATCCGCCTGGGCAATCTGGACACGTGCAAACAAGCATCTCGATCGAGACGTCCTCAACACCTCCTCATTCTAGACATCCGCCTGGGCGACGAGGACGCGTGAAACCAAGCGTCTCGCTCGAGACATCCTCAACAAATCATGGAAGTTGACCTCTGCCTGGGCAACCTGGAGGCGTGAAACCAAGCGTCTCGCTGTCTCGCTCGAGACATCCTCAAGACCTGGGCACGTGAAACCAAGCATTTCACTTGAGAGATCCTCTGAATTCTGGTCCCCAGGAAAGGACAATCTATAACACAAAACAAGCGTTTCGCTCGAGACATCCTCAACCAATTCTGAAACACAAGCATTTCGCTAGGGACATCCTCACATTTCAATTCGCCGGCCCTCTTCCCACTCGTTATTTATCGCAAGAGAAATCCGCTGGCCCTCTTCCCGTCAGACCCGGGGGTAAACAGCTAAAAGAGAACCCTGGGCCTACGCCCTTTCCGGAAAAATGGTGTTTGGAGCGACTCAGGACTGCCAGGGCGCAACTATTATGTTGATCCGCGGGGTTGAAGTCCCAGGAGTGGTGTTCTGGCACGATTTAGGATCGTCAAGACACAATAATCATGTTAATTCGTGGCGTTGTATTCCCGAGAATGGTGTTTCGGTGCGCTTCAGGTCTTCAAACGGTTGTCTCCCAATTGGGCGCTTCCCTCAGTGGAAATGAACCTTTGTAGGGGCCTATGAAGTCGGAGCTTGGAGGGAGGATGTTTTGCAGCATCGTTGATGAGTCTTGGGTTTACACTGGTCCTCTTCCTCCTCCTCCTCCTCCTCCTCCCTCCTCCTGCTCCTGGTCTCCCCTCGTCGCCCTCCTCCTCCTTCCTCTCCCCCTTCTCCCCCTCCCTTCTCCTCCTCGAGCGCTGGCGGATCGGGGTCATCTATGCCGCCCGCGGTGGCACAGCTCTGCATGGAGACGCCCGTCTCGAAGGAGAGGAGCCCCTCCTATGAGAAGCACCAGGGGGGGAGACAGGTGGCCAGAATATGTCGCCACGCCGTTTGTTCTCGACGCGCCCAAGTGGACGACGCCGGCACGACGGCACACACCCACGGCAAGCCCTGCGCCCCGCGCTCAGGCAATCGACGCCAGCACCGCGGCGAACCCCACGGCAAATCCACCGCGCCCGAGGCGGCGTTTGCCCTGGTGGCCGAGGCGCCTCCCCAATACCGAAGGCTGCGCGTCGGAACGAGCGGTCGGATCGAGGATCGAAGGTCGGCCTCCAGAAGCTCTCGTGGGGCTGCAGGGGCCCCAGGGGCCTCTGTGGGCCTCCAGAGACCACTGGGCGCGATCGAGGGCGACGATGACCAACACCACGATTGCGACGACGAAGACAAGGAAAACGACGACGACGACGACGGCAACGACCACGACGACCAAGACCACGACCACGACGAGCGCGCCGACGACGACGACGACCACTACCACGACGACGACCACGACGAAGACGACGACCACGACGAGCGCGCCGACGACGACGACGACGACGAGCACGCCGACGACGAGCACGCCGACGACGACGACGGCGACGACGACGACGACGACGGCGACGGCGACGGCGACGGCGACGACGACGACGACGACGACGACGACAATGACGACGACAACGACCACGACCACGACCACGACCACGACCACGACGACGACGACGACGACGACGAGGACGATGACGGCGGCGGCGACGGCGGCGGCGGTAGAGGGACGGGAGGAGGGAGAGAGCAGCAAAGGGGTTGATGTTTTCTGATTCTTTCGGGCTTCGCGGGGGGCTCTCGTGGCCACGGGTGGACGCAGCTCGGAAAATTTGTCAGGACAGGGGCGGGGCCTTGGGGAGCTCCTGCGGGCCCTAGTCCAGGGAGAAGTGAAGCGAAGACCTGAACAAGCAAAAACTCCAAAGAAGCTCACAAGCACACTTTTTCCTTCTGCGGCGAGGTGACGACACCGTTGCGATGCGCCAAGCCGGGTCACGCTCAGGCGAATTTCCACGTGGCGTCGCAGATGGGTGGACTAGATGGCGGCAGTCCCACACAGAAGAACGCGAAACGCGAATGCACGTGGAACATGTCCTAGCTGTCAAGCGAAACAGAGAAACCGAGCATACACGGCTGAATGTTTCGCGATCGCAAGAAGACGCACTGTGCGGCCAAAGCGCGGAATAGGCGCGCTCACAACGGCTCGCAGTGCGATCAGCCGAGCCGATGCAGCCCGCCTGTAATGGCACCGACAGGTGTGACAGGGAAGCAGCTGGGCCTTGTGGCAGGCGAGGGCGGGGTCCCAAGCCCACCATGCCAGCCGCATCACTGCTCACCCCCGGGCAGCGACAGGGAGGCGGACCAAAAGATACCAAAAGGCGGGGCAGAGAAAGAGCGTCGGCCAGCGTCGGCGCCGACCCCAGGCGAGACCGACACGGACGTAAGGGCGACGGCGCCCAAGCTGGGCAGATGGAAAACTGCCCACCACGTGGAACACCCCGCTGGAGTACGCACTTTTTGGCGTCGCGGCCAAGACGCGCGCGACCAGCCCAGGTCACGCGGTGAGAGGGCAACCCCACTATTCGGCCTTGCGGCCGCGCTCGGAGCGACGCAGCGGAGTTCAGCACGGCAGGCCAGTGTTCCAGGCTATGAGCGCACCTCACGCTCATTCGTAATCAGCCCCCGCGAAGAAGCGCAGCCCCCTGCGCAGGCACTCGCGGAGGGGGCATCAAAAAAGCTGGAACAGCACGCGCTGGCTACACATGCGGAAGGCTGGCGTGCCCAACCACACGAGGGCCGACTGTGGGAAGCCAGTTTCTTGGCGGTCGTCGCGCTCCGTGCAGCGCGCGACGCTAAGCGCGGTGGTCTTCGCGCCCTCGTGCCGCCCCCATGAGTGAAGAGCACGACTCAGCGCCCCTGCGGGTGGCCCAGGGTGCACGCTTGATTGGATGACGCCTTCGAGGGCAACATCCGCCGCTAAACAAAGATACTCGTCTGGCTCTCGCCCTCCTTCCCCGCTTCTGCCGGGAAGGGGGGGAGGGGGTGGACGACGTCCGTCCTCCACACTCTGGACGATGGTGGTCAGCATGGCGGGCTCCAATTCCATGACCTTCGAGGGGGGTGGGAGACGAGAAAGTATGATGTATGAGAATGTGGGGGAGGAGACGACGGAGTAGAACAAACAAGGAAAGAGCGGAGAAGGGATAGAGGAGGAGCAAGATAATGATGAGGAGCAGAGGGGGGAGGGGAAATGAGAAGGCGGAAAGGAGGGAGCTCCGTTTTTACCGAGATAGACGCCGAAACAGCACCAAACAATATCAGCATAGACTCGACCCACGTCATCCTCCTCCCCTCCTCTCCCTGCTCGGAAGAAAAGGAGGCAGACGATACGGATGAAAAAGTATGGCGGGATTCCATCCTTCTCCTCCTCCTCCTCCTCCTCCTCCTCCATCCATCCCTTTTTCCAGATAAACAACTCCACTATCGCACCCCCAGACGTGTCGGTGTGGCGGACCCGGCGTTTCGGCTGAGACGTCATCACCGTTCATGATCCTGAAAATTGAAATGTCCAACAGCTTCCCGGTTGAAGGGCGGGTCGTTTTCAATATGTGGCTCTCACCTTAGCGCCACGCACATTCGCCTAAAAAGTGTGCAACAACTTCGCGGATGGATGGCGGGGCGTTTTCAAAATATGGCTCTCGCCTTGCAGCCGCACACATTCGTCTTAACGGTTTGCAGCAACTTCAAGGATGGAGGCCAATTCCTTTTTGATAGTTGGCTCTCGCCTTAGCGCCGCACGCATTCGCCTTACACAATTGCAGCACGTTCAAGCATTCGTATGGTCGGAGTCCCAAGAATGCCTGTCCTTGCACGATTTAGGAGAATTAGGACGCAATCGTCACGTGGACTCGCGGTGCTGAAGTACCAGGACTGGCGTTCTGGCATGATTGAGGCTTGTCAAGACGCAACAGTCACTTTGATCCGCGGTGCAGCAGTAACGGTTGTTTTCTGGTGGGCCACTTCTGGCAATCAAGATAAACTCTTTGGGGGACCTATGAAGAGGGCACTTGGAGGGAAGGTCTATTGCAACATCGCTGATGCGTCTTGGATTTACACTTGTCCTCGTGCTCCTCCTCCTCCTCCTCCTCCTCCTCCTCCCTCCCTCCCTCCCCCTCCCTCTCCCTCGACCTCCCTCCCTGTCCCCCTCCTGTCCCTTCATCTCCCCTCTCCTCCTTTCCCCTGCTCTCTCCTCGAACCCCGAGCAAGCGCCGCATCCGACTAACGTCAGGCGCGAGCGAGCGTCGACTGGAGGGTTCAACAGAACGCCGGACGAACACGAGGCAGGCGAGGTTCAGCCAGCCCGCTTTCAAGCGACGCACATGCGTGCGCAGCACATATTAGACGACCTCCTCTTCGGCATCCGCGATCTCTGGAAAGCCAAAGCCCCCGAAGAAGGCTCCCGCACATGAAAACAGGGCAGAAGGCGCCAGCGCCTTCCTGGAGGAACTGCTGGCGAGCGGGATCCCGACTCGGCCTTCCGGCTCCTGTGCCCCGTGTGCGGGGATTCCTCGTGCCGTCCCCAGGAACCATCAAGAATCGCACGTCAGGGCTTTCGAACGAGATCCTCGGCATTTCTGAAGGTCCCTCCAGCAGCCCTCAGGATTTCTAGGAATCGAATGAACATAATCTTATTCCATAGGATGACCACGACTATTCTGAGGATTTCTACGGCATCCACCGTATGTCCGAAGGCGTCCCAAGGATTTCGAGTGGATCCCAAAGGAATTGCTCAAGAATCCTCAGCAATCCGAAGAAATCCAAATCTAATCCTGAACATTTCCAGGGGGACCTTACATGTTCCCTTTGCCATATTTAAATATTCCTACAGAGTCAATGAAAATTACCACGGGCCACGGGATCCTCAAAGATTTTTGAGGATCCGTCAGGAATTCATGAGATGGCCTTGGCACTTCCTACGGGAACAGCGGATGTCATCAGGTACCCTAAATAATCCCAAACAGATCCTGTAGCATTTTATCGTGCGCATGTCGCAGCAGACATCGCCCTCCAGCGCCTCCAGGCGCCACCTATCGCGGAGCAATCCCCCGCCGATGCGACGCAGCTTCCCCGCGCGGGACCTCCGCCAACCAGACGCGGAGCGAGACCCCCAGCCGACACGACGCCTCCCCCCCGTCCAAGGGCGCCGCGCGAGGGCAGAGGCGACGCGAGGAAGGGAGCTCCCCTGCGGCGCAGGCGAGGCAGGTGTTTGGGGGGGAGCTTGGGGCCTAGGTGGCGCGAGCTCGCACAATGTTGAGCACCCCCCCCCCGACAATCCTGATCAGGGTCGGGTTGCGGGCGTGCGTTTCCTGGCTGATCCTCTCTCGCAGCCGCAACTGCAGTTCCCCGTCTGCGCCCGCTCGTGGGCGCGCCGGCGCGCGCAAAGCGCGGGCGCGGGCCCCCTGGACGCCACCCGAGGGTCGGGAGGCCACCACCTTCCTCTCACATCGCCTGAGGCCCAAAGAGAGGAGGGGAAGGAGGAGGAACGGGGCTGATCCTCTCCTCCTCCTCATGCTCCTCCCCCTGCTCCCCTTCCTCCACCTGCTCCCCCTGCAACTGGCGGCCTCGAAGAGCTCCCGAAGAGCGCGTGTCCTACCGCGCCTCCAGGGGTTGAGGCTCTCCAAGGTGCACGACGAAAGCTACGTGGAGCTGACATGTTGGTCCGAGTTATTCAATGAGGGTGGGGGTGATGGATCACACGGGGCGGGTACGATGAGGGCTGGACAAGGAACATCAGGTCTGGACAGAGTTTGCGCCAGGCAATGGCTTGGTAAGGGTGGCGGCCGAGAGGTACCAAGCCAGCGGGGTACCACGCTGGCGCTGGCTTGGTAGGGGGCGGGCGGCAGGGGGTTGCCAAGCCGCCACGGTACCAAGCCAGAGGCTTCGTGGGAAGGCGGAAGGGGCGGGAAGGGGCAACTGGATACCAAGCCGGCTGGGTACCAAGCCGGCGTTGGCTTGGTACAGGGAGGGTGGCAGGAGGGTAAGTACCAAGCCGGCGGGGTACCAAGCCAATAACATCGTGGGATATTGGAAGGGCAAGGAGGGGCTCCGGGATACCAAGGCGGCGGGGTACCAGGCCAGCGCTGGCTTGGTAGGGGGCGGGCGGCGGGGGGGGGTACCAAGCCAGCGGGGTACCAAGCCTAGCGCCCCGATGCCAAGCCAGCCGCTGGGTACCAAGCTGGCGCTGGATTGGTATGGGGCGGGCGGCGGGGGGGCACCAAGCCAACAGCATCGCGAGAGGGCGAAGGGAAGGGAGGGGTTCCCGGATACCAAGCCAGCGGGGTACCCAGCTGGCGCTGGCTTGGTAGGGGTCGGTCGGCTGGGGGGTATCAAGCTGGTGGGGCACCAAGCCAACAGCATCGTGGGAGGGCGGCACGGCGGGAAGGGTTCCCGGATACCAGGCCGGCGGGGTTCCAAGCCGGCGCTGGCTTGGTAGGGGCTGGGCGGCTGGGGGGGTACCAAGCTGGCGTGGTGCCAAGCCGCCAGCATCGTGTGTGGGCGGAATTTAATTGAGGGAGGGGCTCCCCGAAGCGAGCGGGGTCTACAAGCCAGCGCTGGCTTGGCACGGGGCGGGCGGCGGGGGGTACCAAGCCTGCGGGGTACCAAGCTGGCGCCAGCGGGTGCCAAGCTAGCACTGGCTTGGTAAGGGGCGTGCGGCGGGGAGGGTACCAAGCCGGCGACGTACCAAGCCGGCGGCATCGCGGAAGGGGGCGGAGAGGCTCCCGGATACCAAGCTGGCGGGGTACCCAGCCGGCGCTGGATGGGTAGGTGGCGCGCGGCGTGGGGTACCAAGCTGGCGGGGCACCAAGCTGGCGGCATGAGGTCGGAGAGGGGTGTGGTGTAATGGGCTGTGGATCCAATGCTGAAAGTAGCGATGCCATCTACGATAGAAGGAAACGCGTTGCATCCCGATTTCAAAAATGTTGGTTTTGCGTCGACCGCTTCGAACAAAGTCAGAAAGTAACACTCCAACTCTCCAAACAACCGCTTTCCATTATGAACGGCGACAAAAATGCCCATTGCATGACGCCCTATCGCCAAGCACGTGACTCTGGAGATTCCAGAAAGTCTGGAATTCATGTTTGCGATTCGAGAATTTCCGGAACGTCGTTTCGGAATTCCAAGAATTATGGTTTGCATTAGATCAACATATTTCGACATTCTGGAATTTACGGAACTACGTGTTTGGCGATACGGAAATTCTGGAATCGTGCTTGTCGCGAATCGGAATTCCCTGAATTGTGTGCTTGGTGATCGGGCATCTTGGAGCAGGTGTGTGTGTGTGTTGCTGTTCCCATGGAACTGAGGTCGTTCGGGGAAGGTGGAATCAGGAATTCTGACGTTGTTCGAGGCGGTCGGCGCAAAGCTAACGCTGTTGAAATCGGGATGCAACGCGCTTGTGGTCATCGTAAAGAACATCGCCTGCGTCCGCATTGGCACCACGCCCCTTTCTACCACACTCCTTTGCAACCTTTGGGAGGGCTGAAGGGGGGGAGGCTCCTGGACACTAAGCTGGCGGGGCACCCAGCCAGTGCTGGATGGGTCGGGCGGGTGGGACAGAAAAATGTAGCCCAATTGAGTAGGACGGCCTCTGGGGCGGGCGGGGCGGGCCAGACGGAGCATTCAAGAGCGAGACCCCATGGGAAATGACCGCTACTCGGGTCGGGGCAGGACACATCGACGAACGCCACTTCACACGCGCGGGGTCAGGTCGGGCAGGCGGGACATTACAGCGTGGGACCCCGACGAATGGGCCCACTCGAGAGAGGTACCAAGCCTGCGAGCTGGCGGTCGCTGGCCTGGAGGGGGAAGCCCTGTAAAGGTACCAAGCCGGCGGGAAACCAAGCCTTCGGCCGCTGGCTTGCTACGGGGGGAGGCCCTGGAAGGGTACCGAGCCGGCGGGGTACAAAGCCAGCAGCCGCTGGATTGGTACGGGAGGGCCCTGGAGGGGTACCAAGCCAGCGGGGTATCAAGCCAACGGTCGCTGGCTTGGTATTATGGGGGGGAGGCCCTGACGTGATACTAAGCCGGCGGGGGGCCAAGCCGGCGGCGGTTGGCTTGGTAGGGGGAAGCCCTGGGAGGGTACCAGACTTGCGGGGTACCAAGCCGGCGGCCGCTAGTGGGGGGACCCTGAAAGGGTACCGAGCCAGCGGGGTACCAAGCCGGCGGCCGCTAGATTGGTACGGGGGAGCCCTGGAGGGATACGAACGAAGCCAGCGGGGGACAAAGCCCGCGGACACTGGATTGGCAGCGGTATACATAGCCAGCAGAGCAACTACCAAGCAGGCGGCCGCTGGCCGGGGAAGCCCTCGAAAGGTAAAAGCCAACGGCAGCTGGCCTGATAGAGGGAGGCCCTTGAGGGGTACGAAGCCGGCGGCCGCTGGCTTGGCAGGGAAGGGGGTCCTGGAGGGATGCGAAGCTGGCGGGGGACCAAGCCCTGGTAGGGGGGAGGCCCTGGATGGGCTCCAAGCCGGCGGGGTACCAAGCCGGCGGCCGCTGGATTGGTAGAGTGAAGCCCAGCAGGTGTGCATAGCCGGCGGGATACCAAGCTGGCGTCCGCTGTCTTGGTAGGGGGGGAGGCCCTGGAGGGCTACCAAGCCTGCGGGATGCCAAACCCGCGGCCGCTGGCTTGGCGTCTGGCTGGGTAGGGTAGACACCAGAGAGGATACCAAGCCGGCGGCGGGAGTGCAGCATCGGTCTGGAAGCCAATGGAACACACAGTGAGGCTTGGCCACGGATAGAGGAAAGAGAACTATGCACATGCACCGATTCTGGCCAGGCCCACCCTGAGCCCAGGATCGGTGCATACGCCCTCCCACCTTGGCCAGGCAGGCATATGCACCGATCCCGGGTCAAGGATGGGCCTTGCCAGGATCGGTGCATGTGCATAGTTCTCTTCGCCCGAACGGATACCACCGCCGCCCTCAGGAACCCTCGAGGGTAAGGAGCCTCCTGGGCACAATCCTTAGCGAGCTCCCCCGCCGCAGGAACGGGCTGTCCTGCGGACGGGGCGTGGGAGGGCAGATCGCCTCGGGGCGGTCTTGGGGAGAGCGGGCGGGCGCGCATGGGGCGCGCACTGCCAGGCGGGGTTGCACGGCGAGAGGGCTTCGGGCACCACGTGGATTGTGCACTGCAGCTCCCTTGGTCGCACAGCTTCGCGCTCCGCGCCCGGCCACGTGCGCAGCGCGGCCGTCTTCGTGCCCTCGCGGCGGGCTCCTGGAGAGGGGCCAGCCCTCTGGGCCAGGCTGCGACGCGCGACGCGCAGTTATCTTCGAACCCCTGCGGGACGATCTAGGGCAAGCGTTCGACCCTGAACAACCCCCTGAACGACATCCTTTCGATGAGGGTTCGCGGATGCTCTCGAACCCATCGTCCGCACGGAGCTCGTGCAGTGGGTTGCTCTCTGTCGGCCCCAAGGCCGGAAACGAGCCCAACCTTCAAGGATCGCACCAGCGTCGCCGCCGCGTCGAGGCGCCGCGTGACTAGAAGAACAAAAAAAAACAGGCATGCGGCATAAATATAAACTTCCGACGGTCCGCCCGGATTTCTTGGATCTGCGCTGGACCCCCCTGTCTGGCGCGCGGAGCGCGCCAGGGGCGGCGCCAGAGGCGCAGCCAGGGGCTCCAGCGCAGATCCAAGAAATCCGCGCGGATCGTCGGAAGTTTTGCGTCGAGGCGCCGCGTGACGCGTGACCTGCGCTCCCTATCTCCAGCCGTCCCCGCCGCGTCTCACACGCGTCCAGTCTGGGTCTCGGGTGCCCCACTGCTCCCCCTCCGCGGCCTTGGCCATGTGGCTCCGAGTCGCGAGCTCCAGGAAGAAGTAGTACGGCTTGAGGGCCTCGAGGTCAGGCGGAGGAGGACGGGGAGGGAGACGAGGGGGGGCAGGCATGGGAAGAGGAGAAGCACGGCGAAGAGGAGGAAGAGGAATAAGAGAAGCAACGGGAGGATGATGAGGAGGAGGGAGAACCAGAAAGGCGGTTCTGAGATGAAGAAGGAAGAGGAAAATGCGAATACGTTCACAGATGAGGGCAAAAAACCGCCAGTCCAAGGGGCCAACGGCGTGTCAGACCCTCCAAGCAGGCAGCGGAGGCAACGTGGTTGACAACTGTTCCCCAAGCAGTGCTTGCTCTTAGGAGTGCGTTCGTTGGCTTCTAAAGGATTTGGCGGCGCCTCCGGATTTTCGCCCAATCGCCCTCCCTTCGCCGCCTCGTGTGCTGGCTCGGGTTTCTGGGCGTTCGCCCAGTCGAAACCGGTCGCCGCCCGGGCAATCGCCGCCCCGTGCGCTGGCTGGGGTTTCCGGTCTGTCGCTCGGTCCCCGCGCGTCGCCGCCCCCCGTCGCCGCCACCGTGACCCCCACGCTACTGCGAATACTTTGAGCGCACTGCTTGCCATTGCTGCCAGCACTGCGCAATTCCCCCGACGCTGCTTGCGCCGAGGGGTTCGCACCCTCGAAGCCCCATGATCGGGGCCGCCACTCGCCGCCTCTCCTGCTGGCTGGGCCTCCTGGGCCTTCGCCCCCGCTGCCCACCCGCCGCTGCCTCGTGCGCTGGCTGGCGCTTCCGACTTTTCGCGGGGTGCCCGCACGTCGCCGCCTCGTCGCAGCCTCGTGCGCTGGCGCCGGCGCCCTCGCTGCCCGCTGCCGCCTCCTAGTGCTGGGCTGCATCGGCTCTTGCCCTAATCGATGAAACTGGCGCGACCCCGGTGAGGGGAAGCCTGTTGCATGGGCGCATCGCTTACCGTTGCTTGGCATGGCTTGGCATGGCTTGGCATGGCTTTGCTTGGCTTGGCATTGCTTGGCATGGGTTGGCATGGGTTGGCATCGCTTGGCATTGCTTTACATGGGTTGGCGTTGCTTGGCATGGGTTGGCATGGGTTGGCATCGCTTGGCATTGCTTAGGGCAACCAGGGGCGGGGAACCCGAGGAACCCAGGGAACCCGAGGAACCTTCGGGAAACGGGCAACGTAACAATAGGAGGCACCAGAGGGGGGGAACCGGAGGGTCCCGAAGAACCCGAGGAACCAGAGAAATCTCCGAGCAACGGGCAACGTAAGAATATGAGGCAACAGGGGCGGGGAACCCGAGGAACCCGAGGAATCTACGAGGAACGGGCCAATAACATTCCGAGGCACCAACATCTTAAACCAAGTAAGAACCCCTAAGGAAGCCGAATTGGGGTAAACCTCGACCCCCATGCCGAGTCTGGACTGAACGGTCCCCATCAGGGCTTTTCGTATTTATTATGCACGATCGTTCATCGTACTTAAAAACCATACTATCCCAGCCAGGCTGGTATCGCTTCCCACGCCATGCCTGTTAGATAATACGATGCGGTGTGCGCCTTGATTTCACTAGGGAGTTTTGTGAATAATTCCAGTCCGATAGCTCCAATCAGAAATTCCAATCCCCCCCCGCGCGCGCATGTCGGCGCACCCTGCATAATTCTTCTGTGGCCAAGTAGGGAGCTCCACCGAAGGCCGCAATGGGCACGTTCGCATATTGTTCGCCCGCCAGTTTCGGCAGGCCCTCACAAGCTTCGTGGCCCCTTGGGGAGCTCCACCGAAGACTCCAGCGGGCAAGGCCACATGGCGATGCCCCGCCCGATTCGGGGCACCCTGCATACGTTCCGTGGCGCCATAGGGAGCTCCAACGAAGGCCCCAGTGGCAGGTTTCGCATGGCGGCGCCACGCCTACTTCGGCACACTCCTCACATATTTAGCGCCCTACGGGGAATTCAGCATGCCTCTGCGCGTTTGCCCCGCAACCCCCTATCCAGACTGCCCCGCGCAACATACGAAGAGAGGGCCATGCCATGTGCTACACGCATCTGTATTTGGGTTCATTGCCAGGCTACCTGTTCATGCTTTCTAGTGTTTTCGGGCTACGATGGCGAAGCTTTGGTGGGAACATGTTTCGCTGGGTGCTGCTAATCTACCAAGCGACTGCATCTTCCTCAAGCGAGCTTCACAAAGCAGCGTGGGAAATGCGCGACGTGGTTCGCAGCTCCACCGGGTAAAAGCGTGTGAGATCCCCGCCAGCGGATTCTGCCAGACATGTGCTTCTTCAATCTTCTCATCTGCAAACTCGTCGGCATGCACCCTGTCCTCAGAGCCCTAACCAACGCTCTTGGGGCGTCCTCCGCGACACGCGCATTCCGCCGGCCCCGCCGCACTGACTGCACAGGCCGCCACCTTGCCCCCGAAATCAGCTTTGCCTCCTCACGGGAGGTCTCCGGGACCCCTCCGGGCACCGCCAGGGACCTCCGTGGAGCCCTCCTGGGCTGTCTCGGGGGCTTCGTGTGGCCTCTTTGGGCTGACCCCTCTGAAGCCCTCTTGCAGTCATGCTGAGCCGATCCCCCGACAGATCGAAACACTTGCAATAACCACATGGAGCTTGACGATGTTGCCCATCTCGGGCTCCTCGTTGTGTCTCTTGGAGCCTCTCTTGGAGCTTCTCCTGAGAATCTTGGGGCTTCTGCGGCCACTTCTGGATATCTTGGAGGCCTCTCGGGACGTCACGAGGGCTGCTTGGATGCATCTTGGGCCGTCTGGACGCCCTGTTAACGCCCTCTTGAGCCCCCCACATGGTCCCCCCAGGCCCTCCTGAGGACCCCGAATCAAATTGGGGTAGCTTCTTTTTGTCTCCGCTTCTCCATTTCAGCCCAACCCACTGTTTGCAACCCAGTCGAGAGCCATTTTGATAGGTTTCGGGACCTCTTGGAAGCCTCCAAAGCGTTCCTGGCGATTGTTGGGGCCCTCTCACGCTCTGTGCTATTTGCACTGCACTCGCCTTCCTCCTCCAGGCCTCCCGTCTGCTCACGATCTGTACACCGCGCCACTTTCCCATCAAAGCGGCCACGTTCCAAAACGTGGGGCGGCGGTGTCTGTCCCTTCAGGGGCGTTCAATTGAATACGAAGGAGGATAACGAGGAACTGGAAGCAGAGGAGCAAGATGAAGAGGATGACGATGACGAGAGGGATAAGAACGAGAAACATATGAAAAGAAGCAAGAGGAGAAGGAGGAATGATAAGAAGAGGAAGAGGACGAGCTGGAGGGCCTTGAGGAAAGCGCTAAGCTCGGGAAGCGGGATGGCCAGACACATGCGCAGCGCCAGGGCCATCGAGTTGGACAGGGAGCTGTCGGCGTAGAGCTCGAAAACCCCGAAGTTGGTGTAGTTCCCGTGCAGTGCGTGCGAGAACCTCGAACGGGTGGAGCAGATGGGGAGGCGGGGAGAGGCAGAGGCGTGGGGGTGGGGGGTGGCTGAGGGGGGGGGGGGAGGGAGAGGGAAAGAGGGAGAAGGTGGAACAGAAGAGAAGAGGACAAGGATGAGGAGCAGGAGGAGGCGGGAGGGTGGCAGAGGCGGGAGGGGAAGGGGAGGAGGAAGCTGACATGGACGAGCTGCAGCGCATCCCCCTCCTCCTCCCCCTCCCCTACTTCCTGGGCTTCCCGTCCACCTTCCCCCTCCCCCATCGAGGAAGGCGAATGGGCCCATGAACACACACACACACACATGAACAGACACGGATCCCCTCAATTTCCCATGTTCTCTGAAGTTTCGTCGTCCCCTCCACTTCCCATAGTCTCCTATATTTTCCTGGGAGTCGATGTTTATTTGTGTCTGTGTTTTTCCCCCTCCCGAGAGGAGTACAGGCGAGTGAGGAACATGTCCAGCGACACGCCGATGCCCTTGTACTTCTCGACGTACAGGTCCCTGAACTGCGTCCGCTGAAGGATGCGAGTCCCGTACGTCACCAAGATCGTTGAGGCCTCTGCGACAAATAATACTGAAGAGGGATGAAGTGGAGAAAGAGGTGGAGAATGAGGAGGAGGAGGAGGACGAGGAGGAGGAGGAGGAGGAGGAGGAGGAGGAGGAGGAGGAGGGGGGGAGGAGGAAGAGGAGGAGGAGGAGGAGGACGAGGAGGAGGCGGAGAAAGAGGATGAGGTCTCGTCGTCGTCATTTTCCTCCTCCTCCTCCTCGTCCTCCCCCTCGTCCTCCTCCTCGTCCTCCTCCTCGTCTTCCTCCTCGTCCTCCTCCTCCTCCTCGTTCGCTTTCTGGATCGCTGCCTCCTTCCGCCCGCTGCCTCGTTCTCCACGCCTTCCGCCGCAACCGCGGACCGGCTGACCTATCCTTCCTCCTGCTCCTCCTGTCCCTCCTCCCTCCTTCCACCTGGGCTGAAGCTTTAATGGTTCACTCCCCCGGTAATTAGCCTTCTCACCGAGTCTTTCGAAAACTGCCCGATCTGAACTGACCTGACCTCCTTCCTCCCTCCTCCACGTGTCATCCGCGCTGGCGCATGGCTGCTTCGGCTTCACCCAGCCCCAGGAGTACCGGTGGCCGCAGCCTGCTGCGGCCGCTGCAGGCGCTGCTGCAGTCGCCACCGGTGTGCGACCTCACGGTAATCGGCAAGTTCCCCGCCTTCCTGTCGGCGTTGGCGCGGGCGCTCCAATTGCCGCTGAGGCTCCCTCGTCTGCCGCCGCTGGGCCACACAGGGACAGCAGTGTAGATGGCTGCTGCTCTTGGTGCTTCGTCGTCATCAGCGCCGCCGCCTCCTTGCTCGCCTTCTTCATGCGTACAGACCGCCAGCGTCTGGAATTCGTCTCCCCCTCTGGATCTCAAGCGGTCCACGGGGCGGTTGCACCAACAGCCACCACAGACGGTCGCCAAGACCGCATTCCTGGCCCCGAGCTCCCCGAAGCCCACGGGTTGGCCGACCACGAAAGTGCTGAGGCCGATCGCCAGGATCGGGCCTCGCGCCCAACCACCGCCGATGGCTCCCTCGAGCTTCACACTGATTCCCGCGACTTCGAGCGGGCATTGGCCTGTCACGACCACGACAATGAGGAAGACCCTTTCGGGCTGGGCACTGACCTTCATAACTCTGACGAGACGGCACCCACGCCCTGGGTTCCCCACGGAGGCCCGGCCTCCCAGCAGCCCTGAAGTGCAAGTGCACAGACCGATCACCCCTTATCACCATGGCGCCTGGGCCGATCGCAACGACCGTGTCAACGGCTCACACGCTTCAGCTGCCAACAACGCAACTAGCCTCAGCGCTAACCTCAGTAACACGGTGTCCTGGGCAGTCCACGAGGAAACTCCTTGTGGGCTGGGTGGGGGATTCCACGACCAAGGCGCTGCGACTCCCGTCCTCGCTGGCCCGAGCGGCAGCTCGGTCAGCCAGCGAACCTCGGCCTCCAGCGAGGTAGAGGCGGGAGGACTCTGCCCTCCATGGACGCGTCCCCTCTGCCCCTCTGCCCCTCCCCCTGCCCCTCTGCCCCTCTGTCCCTCCATGGACGCCTCACCCTGCCCCTCTGCCCCTCCCCCTGCCCCTCTGTCCTCCATGGACGCGTCCCCCTGCCCCTCTGCCGGACCACACCACGGCACTGCGCCCACGCACCGGTCGGCACCCCCCGCGTGCCGAACACAGTGTGCCGCCGCCCTCTGCGGCCGCCCGACAGAGGGCCACCTGCACCGGCGACGGGGAGGAGGAGGAGGGGGGGAGGAGGAGGAGGAGGAGGAGGAGGAGGAGGAGGAGGAGGAGGAGGAGGAGGAGGAGGAGGAGGAGGAGGAGGAGGAGGAGGAGGAGGAGGAGGAGGAGGAGGAGACGACGATAAAGGGGGAAGATCAGTCACCCCTACCCGCGCGGAGGCGGCGGCCACGGCGCCTCGTCGATGAGGTCGACGGAAGTAGCCATTGTTGCAATGCGAGGGGGAGGAGGCGAGGAGCAAGCAGCGGCAGCAGCAAGCCTCGGGAGCGACGGAAAAGGGGGGGCCAACAGCAGCACTAGGCACGTATGACGCGAGCTGCGGCTCAGAAGACTCAACACGCGGTGGAGCGGCAATCGGAGTGTCTAAGCAGGGTGGCGAGGGTGGCGGATCGGGCATCCCGACATCGTGGGCAGGGGTGAGGAGAGCATCGGCAGCAGCAGGTCTCCAGAGCGAAGGAGCACGATGGGGATCAGGCGAGACAGAGCGGGGAGGGGTGGCGATCAGGGTCGCAGGAGTCGAGGGAGAGGAACACCTGGGGGTCAGCTTTGTGGAGTCAGGCAAAGAGGGGGGAGGAGAGGCGGCCGCAGTCTCAGGGGACTGCGGTGAGTCACATCTGGGTGTGAGCCTCGGGGACGAACAGGGAGAGGCCGCGCTGGGCTCGGGATGGGTCGAAGGCGGGCGCGAAGGGGCTGGCAACGTGGAAGAAGAACTCGAATCCGATGACGAAAGGCTGGACAGTGGTCGCGCACGCACGGGAGCTAGCCTCGCCCGCTCCTCTGCCGAGAGGCCACGTGGCTCCAGCCAGAGCAGCACCTCGATTCTCTCCAAGAGAGAGGGGCCAAGAGGCCGAGCGTCAGGAGGAGGAGGAGGAGGAGGAGGAGGAGGAGGAGGTGGTGAGCGCCTTTGCGAGGCGCAGCCGCCACCTCTGACGCGAATGCGCCGAGGCGCTCGCCCAGGCTGCGGACGCCACCAGCACACCCGCCAGCGCGCAGGCAGGCGGAGCTCACGGCCACCGTCCCGAGCTCCTCGCTGCTCGCGCCCGCTGCGTCCGGAAGCGGGTCGAGCCAACCGCCCGGCCGCACTCTTGAGACCGCTCCCGCGGGAGGCAGCCCTGCATGGCATGCGGGGCTCCGCCATCCCCCCTAGGAGGGGCACCCCGCTGGGGCGCTCTCCGCTGCCCCGAGGGGCGCCTCGCCGCGGTGCCGCTCCAGCCTCGGCCTCCTCCGCGTCGGCTCCCCGGTGGTCTTGCGCGGGACGGCGGTCGGAGCCCCTGTCCATCCGCCAGGCCTGCGCCACTGCGCGCGCCGACCCAGCCACAAGGGCTACGCTAGGCGCACCAGCCGCTTGTCCGCCAGGCGCCGGCGCGGACACCCGCGCGAATCGGTCCGATCTCTCTCTCTCTCTCTCTCTCCTCTCCTCAGTTTCTCCCTTCTCCCCTCATATCCTCTCCCTATCCTCCACTCTTCCTCCAGCTCCATCTCATTCCAAATCCGCTCCCTGCTCGTCCCTCCTCCTCCTCAAGCTCGCGGGGTCCTCCCGAAAGAGCAGTATGCCGTTCGGAGAGGACTGGTCGAAGGCGATCCGCTGTGCCTTGTTGTGGACGAACTCCGCCACAAATTTCAGCAGCGGCGTCGTCACCTCGGGGTCGTCCCACCACGCGTCCAGCGCGCGCGAGAAGAGAGTTACCCTGGAGGTGGTGGGGTTCTTCGGGTTGTCCACCAGCCAGTCGAACAGCATCGAGTAGGGCTCGTAGCTGGTGCACGCCAGCCCGATGCCGCGGAGGTCCCTGCAAAGGCCTATCAGCGGGCCCTTGCAGCTTTCCTGTCGAAGTGCCTGCGTACCCTGGCAGCTCTGCTGAAAGAGCGTGTTGATGACCATGGCCTGCGGCTCCATGAACTTCTCGAACATGTCCCGCTTGTCCCTGATGTCTGTGAACAGGAGCTTCCCCAGCGTGTGGTAGTACATGGTGCGGTACTTCCCGTACTTAATCCCGAAGGTCAGGAAGCCGAACTCAGGAGAGGCGTGGTTACTCAAAATGTACTTCACCATGTCGTTCTTCAGGAGGAGCCTCCCAGAGACAATGAGGTGAGGAGAGCGGTCCGCGGTGTGCACAATGTTAATGCCTGCGGCGAGGTCGTGGAAAAGAGACAGCGTCTTCTTCAACACAGCCTCGAGAGTGAATCGCGACTGCAAGTTTTTGCCTCGGTGCTGGGTCGATCGGCAAACCGATCGTCAGTTGTCCCTCCTCCCCCTTCTCCTTTCCCCCTCCCTTCCCTCCCAGCTCTCCTCCCTCCCGCCCCTCCTCGCTCCATCCCTCTCCGCTCCCTCCCCTCCGCCCCTCCCCTCTCCCTCCTGCCTTCCCGTGCCGTGCTCTCCCCTGCCCATCACAACCCCGCCCATCCCATCTCTGGGCGGCACAAGCCCAGCCCGAGACTGCTGCCTGGGTGGCGAACTGCGCTTCTTGAAGCTAAACAGAGCAGACTGTACTAGTCATCACAATATTTGACGAGGCATTGCGGTGTGAAAGAGCGGACTTCATTGCCGAAAGTTGGTGATGTGCCCTGCTTAAACTCAAGAAAACCTCACGCTAGGAAGAAAAGCCGTCACTCCAAGCATTTTCGTCAACAGCAATCTAGGTCACGACAGTTCTACGATGCGAGAGCCCAGTCCAGATTCTTGAGTTTCCTGAGCGAAATCTGTTGGCGAGTTCTCTTACAATGTCTGATGGGTGTATGGCTGAGGTGCGGTGCCGTGCCTGCCGTGGCGTGCATGACGTGACTCGGTGCAGCCGTGCGGTGTTACACTTGCTTGCGATTTTCCAGCGGGATGTCCTGAACCAGTCCAGACTCTGGACCGTGGATCGGTCTGGATCCTGAGCCTGGCGACTTTACGTCCCTCTCCTTTCTCCCCTCTCCCTCCCTGGTCGCCCGACCCACCTCCTCCTCTCACCCAATCCTGGGGAAACCAAAAGGTACCGATACCGTTACTCCCAGACCTCTCCCGGAGTGCGTTCTAACCAGAAAATTCGAAGCGAATCCAGCGGTGGCGACGAGGGCCTCCAAGGAGGCCTCAAGGGACGAAGACGAGGGAAGGGTAGCGGTATCGATACCGTTCCCCCCTCTAAACCTCATCCTTTCCTCCAATCCCCCCCCCTCCTCCCCACCTCCCCTCCTAGTCCTCCCTCCCCTTCTCCCCTCCCCTCTCCCTTCCCCTCCCCTCTTCCCCTCCCCTCCCCTCCTGGCCTCCCTTACCCTCCTCCTCTCCTCCAGTCCTCCCCCTCTTTTCCCTCCTGCCACATCTGGCCCTCGACCCTCGAGGGCTGAAAGCAGACGGTTTCTCTCCGGCGTTTCTGGCCCGCGCCGTGCCTCTGGAGGCCTCGGGGAGCCTCCGGCGACCTCGGGGGACTTCCGGAACCTCAGGCGGTCGGGATCCAGGGCGGCAGCAAAGCTTCCCACCTCCTCCTCCTCCTCCTCCTCCTCCTCCTCCTCCTCCTCGTCCTCCTCCTCCTCCTCGTCCTCCTGCTCCTCGTCCCCCTCATGTTCCTCCTCATCCTATTAGTTACTCACCCTCCCTCCTCCCCTTGTTCTTTCTCCTCGTCTTCCGCATGCTCCGTCTTGCTCATATGTTTCCCATGTGCTGTTTGCTTGCTTGCTTGCTTGCCTGCCTGCCTGCCTGCCTGCCTGCCAGCCTGCCTGCCTGCTCGCTTGCTACCTTGCTTGCTTGCTTACTTGATTGTTCGTTCTCTCTCTGTCTTTTTGTTATCTCTCTATATATGTATATAGATATCCCTCTCTCTATGTGCAAATGCACACACTATGATATATGTGGTTCTATGTGCGCATGAGTATATATGTATGTATGTATATATGCATGTATGTATGTATGTATGTATGCTTGTATGTATGTATGTATGTATGTATGTATGTATGCATGTATGTATGTATGTATGTATGTATGTATGCATGCATGTATGTATGTATGTATGTATGTATGTATGTATGTATGTATGTATATATGTATGTATGTATGTATCGCCTCTCTCTCCCTCTCTAGCCCTATATCCGTCTCTATTTCTCTCGATGTGTATCTACATACATGTGCATGTAAACACACACGCGCACATAATTGTATATGTGTATAGAACCCCCAAGAAAGGCTAGACGGGTTTCGGTTTGCCTTCTTGAAAACTAGGGTGGTATTTTTGGGTTTGTGGGCGCTCATGTTTGTGGGCGCATCATAGGCGCCCTGTGCGCTGGTTGGGATTTGTCGATTTTCGCCTGGTGCCCTCTCATGGGCGCCTCACGGACGGCTGGGTCTGTTGGATTTCAGGCTGGGGGGCGCGCGAGGGCATCTTGTGCATTGGCTCGCGTCTCAGGGCACATCTAGGTTTCCACCACAAGAATACACTACCGAGCTAGCCTCCCTATGTCGCACGAGGCAAATAACACACCCGATGCTGCATTCCAGAATTGCACCACACACACACACACACGCTGCAGCACACACGCACACACACACACTTTTCCCGTCGGCGGCTGGGCAGAGGTTCCTGCTCCGGCGATCTGGCATCAGTGGGGCGCGCTAAATGCAAATTGGGCCGCAGTGCACGTGAGGAGAGGAGGAGACCCCGGCGCGACGGGAAGAGAAGCTGGGCCCGCTCAGGCAAGTCACCGGCACCGGCGGAGGGAACGCCGAGGGGGGGATGCCAGCCGCGGCGTCGGGCAGCAGCTGGGGGGGGAAGGCAGCCCAGCGGCGGCAGCGCAAAGCCTGGTGAGGGAGCAGGTGCCACGAATGGGCAGGTATGGACGACCAGACCAGCCAATCAATATCAGCCCGAAGGAAAAGCGTGGGGGCTGGCGTTGGACAAGCAGCAAACGAGTGCAAGGAGAAAAGCGTGTCACATGTTGATGCAGTCACCACACCAATGGGGGAGCCGGCGGGGCAGGCGAACTTAGCGGTAAGGCGAAGCGCCGAAGTCTGGTGACCTACGAGGCGCGATGGGAGCTGAGACGGGCGGAGCGCAGGCTACCGCGAGTGCGCTGCGATGAGCGCGGCAAGAGCAGGCCGGCGTGAAGGCGATGGACAAAGGACGAAGAGGCGGAGCCACGCCATCCGGGGGAGCGGCGCGGAGCTGGGAGAGCCAGCAGGTGGGGGGGCGGGCTCCGAGATCGGGTGACCTCCGAGGCGCGGGGAGGGGCGAAGGCGGCGCAAGGTGCCACGGCAGCGCGGCAGTAACCCGATCACCCATGGGCAGGTGGATGGACGAGAGGCCAACCTGAAAGCCAGGCTGGCGAGGGGGGGCCTGGCAAGGAGCAGCCGAAGTCGGCCGGCCAGGCACGGGGCGCGGCGAAGCGGTGGAGGGTGCCGCAGGCGAGCTCCTGGACCACACCTGTCAGGAGGCCGGCGAATCCCCGGCCGAAGCGGGGATTGCAGCGGCAGGGCAGGGGCACCCTCCAGATGGTGAAGGGGGGGCCCAGGGGGCCAACGGCGGGCGGCAAGTCCAGCCCACCGAGGCACGCGCAGGGGCCGGCCCCAGGAGGGGCGGCGGAGCAAGAGGGAGGCACCGACGAAGGCTGTAGCCAGGTCGGGCGGCGAGAAGAAGCGTAGCCCCGAGCGGAAACTGGAGGCATGCGGGGGGGGGGCGAATAGGTGCAGTGCTGCGAAGTGGAGGCACCGACGAGGGCTGTGGCCAGGTCGGGCGGCGAGAGGAGAAGCATAGCCCCGAGCAGAAGCTGTTGGCATGCGGGGGGGGGAGCACCGAACAGGTGCGGTGCTGCGAAAAGAGAGCCGCCTGGGGGGCACAGGGGGGGAGGGAGGCAGTTGGCCAGGTAGGCCACTGCCAGCCCCGCCAACGGGATGACTCAAAACAGGTCGCAGCAAAGTGCCAGCCTTGGGGAGCTACCAGCAGTGGCTGCGCGCGTCGGACCACCGCTGGCGAATGGGGTCGTTGCTGGGCCAGGATGTGTCGGCCGGGCGCTTGCCTTTTCCCTGAGGCGGGGCCATTCTCTTTGCCTTTGGCGGCCTCAGCGCTTTGCCTCCTCTTCTCCGTTTCACGCTCCCACTCGGCGTCCCAGTCGACGTGGATGCCCTTGTACCTACATAGAGCACGGACATCGGTCGTAGTTGGCCTGGCTGAGGTCGGACACAAAACCCTGGCAGAATTCGGATTTGTGCCGGGGGGCTCCTTGGAGGAGTACTCCCCCAGCTTCCGATCGCACACGGCGTTCCAGCCGATCGCCAGCATGGGGCCGCATTCCTTTTTGAGGCGGTTGACCAGCTCATGCCATTCCTCCCTTGTACTGGTCTTGTAGTGTCAGGTGGGCTGCCACACGACTCTCTGCCGCGGATTGTAATAGAGCCGATCCGTGGCATCGTACTGGGGTCGGTGGTCCCGAGAAGGAAACGGATGGCGAAGCGCCGGCTCCTGTCGCCAGGGCGGAGTCCGCTCCGCGGCGTCGCTTCCGCGCCACCTTCTGGATGCACCTGGGTTGCGGTGTTCAGCGGTCTGGGGGGTCTTGCGTACAGGCTCTTCCCCGGCGGCTTGCGGGGCGACTCCGCCAGACGGCTCCGCCTGCAGCTCTTGCCCGCGGTCAGGGCTGGGAGATGGGCGCGCATCAGCGGGCGGCTCCGGGGAGCTGCTCGGGTTACGGCGCCTATCGTCATAGCTAATCGCCGGATTGCCGAGGGGAGGTCGCTCCTGATACACACACACAAACACACACACAGACACACACGCACGCGCACACTTTTAAGCTGGCGGCGCAGAGGGTCCTCAAACGCGCGCAGCAGATGGAAGTGTTAATTGCGATCGAGGATTGTCGAAGGCACAGTGTACGAGACGTCGCACACTGTAAAGTGCAAGCGATCGATGGTGTGCTAGAGAGACTATAACCCAAAGCGTAGAAATGCAGCGGCCAGAAAACTGAGGAGACTCAACTCAAAGTGAACTGAAGCGAAAGCAGACTGGTGCAAATTGGCGCCCACTGGCTCACACACACACACACACACACGCACACACACACACACACACACACACACACACACACACGCACACAAACACACACAGACATACACACATACACACATTGTGCCATATTCGAAGCTGTGCCCCCCTGGCACGTTGAGGCGTGGTAGAATGCCACGTGGTGTCTGGCAGGATTTCTGCGTTATTGTGGAAGCGACCCCCCACCATCGAAGCATC